TCCTGCCTCAGCCTCCTGAGTAGCTGGGATTACAGGCACACGCCACCATGCCCAGCTAATTTTTTGTATTTTTAGTAGAGATGGGGTTTCACCATTTTGACCAGGATGGTCTCGATCTCTTGACCTCGTGATCCACCCGCTTCAGCCTCCCAAAGTGCTGGGATTACAGGCATGAGCCACCGTGCCCGGCCCGACGTGGGGTTTCTCTATGTTGATCAGGCTGGTCTCGAACTCCTCACCTCAGGTGAGCCGCTCGCCTCGGCCTCCCAAAGTGTTGGGATTACAGGTGTGACCCACCCTGCACAGCCAAAATAAAGTTTTTTACTCATTTCTTCAGATGGTACTCTTTAATGTCAAAAGCAAGTGTTTCTTAATTTTTATTTTTAATTCAAAAATATTTATTTTTTTAAGAGACAGTGCCTTGCTGTGTTTACCAACCTGGTCTAGAACTCTTAGCCTCAAGCAGTCCTCCGCTTCAGCCTCCCAAAGTGCTGAGATTACAGGCATGAGCCACTGCACCCAACCAACGTTTCCTGATTTGAATTGTTCCCTCAGTCTTCAAGTGCTGGACAGGCAGTGTGGTTCTGAAGTAGCAGGTGCTGTGGGGCAGAAGACCCCCTGCTAGATCGGGGTGCACCACTCACTAGCCGTGTGACCTGGGCAGGGTAGTTGACCTCTGTGCCTTAGTCTCCCTGTTGGAGTTGTCATGATAATTGGGATGTGCTTGGAGCAGTACCTGGCACAAAGTGAGTGCATTCCAAGTGCTTGTGAAATAAGATCATTTTTGATATTTTGTGTCAATTACTGAGGATTGAATGATGAACTTGATAGGAACTCTGTGTACCTGTGTGGATGTTTAATATTAGCAGACATCAAAGCTGGAGTCAGTGCCAGGCACAAGGTGCTCAGGTGCTCCGACAGCCCCGAGACATTGGCGAACCCTCCTCCTCATGGGCACGTAGACTGGGGATTGGCTCTGCTACTGGCTATGGTCGCACAGCTACCAAGTGCTGAAGGAGCTGCCCAGAACTGAGGCCTCTGGCTCAGAAGCGCACATGCTTCCCATAGCGGCAGTGGTTTCAGAGAATTGAATTGCTCCAAGTGGGAGTATTTTGAAGGAACAAGCCACAGTTACTCCTTTCTGTGATCCCTGGAGAAGTGATCGTGTTTGTGTGTGGGTACAGGACTGCTAGAGATGGCAGTCACCAGGAGGCCAGGGCACCCAGCTTGGTGGTGCTGCCAGTGGCCGTCCTGTTTGGCTGTGACACCTGTTAGGTTACTGGAAACATTGTCACTTATTTGAGAAAGGTTTTTTTTGTCTTTTTTTCTTAACCAATGCCACTGTTGTGGAATTTTTTAAAAATTTCTGAGCATTAGCACAAACATTTCTCTTACAGTTCTCTGTGTTAATGCTGTTATTCTCTGCTGTACCGAAGTTGTTTTCTGAGGGTAAGTTCATTTTAATGACTCACAATTTCTGGACCTCTCCAGAGTAGTACAGGCATCTTGTGCTGCCAAAGCATATTTTAATTTTGTTTTAATAATATTTATTTTCCTCTGGAAGCTGAGACCTGGCCAGGTGTGGTGGCTCATGCCTATAATCCCAGCATTTTGTAAGGCCGAGGCAGGTAGATCACTTCAGGCCAGGAGTTGGAGACCAGCCTGTCCTACATGGCAAAACCCCGTCTC